AGATAGATAGATAGATAGATAGATAGATAGATAGATAGATAGATAGCATCCATGGGGTTTCAGCATTAAAACCACACTATAAAAAAGATGTTGAGACTCTAGAAAAAGTGCAGAGATTCAACCTAGAAATAAGGCGGAATTTCCTGACAGGGAGAACAGTCAACCAGTGGAACAGAAGTTGCCCTCAGAAGTTGTGGGAGCTTCATCACTGGAGGCTTTCAAGAAGAGACTGGACTGCCATTTGTCAGAAATAGTGTAGGGCTTCCTGCTTGGGTAGGGGGTTGGACTAGATGACCTACAAAGTCCCTTCCAACTCTGTCAATCTGTTAAAAGGAAAGGACCCAGGGGCAATTTTCCCTTTCCCCCCTTCACTCCCAAACTTGATGGCATTCCGTAAGAAACAACAAACCATGCTTTGATTGTTGCCTTAACTCTATGCAGAGCCAACTTCCTGACTCCGCCCCCATGCCCGATACATAGACTTTATCTCAGAATCTTCCTCCTGCAAAGTCCCTCTTAGGAGTTCTGGGCATTGAGGTCCCTCCCCCTCCCCCTCCCCCATACCGAGTTTGGGAAAGTTTCGTGTTAAGAGTTCAAGTTAGTGTGAGATCCACCTTGCATTCCTGTCTCCCCTTCTCTTCCCCCTTGCTCTCTCAACGAGAGCAAGTACCCTTCCTCTCGCCCTTTTCTCCCTGGTGCAATTTTACTCCCCTTCCCCAAGTGGTGCTGGGTCCAGGAAGCGTCAATCCAACTCCATGGGTTGGAGACCCTTTGGATGCGTGCAATAACCCAGAGCATTGTTTCTCCGCCTTGGCGACCTTTAAGAGGCGTGGACTTCAACTCTCAGAATCCCCCCCACCTCTTAAAAGTTTGCCAAGGGGTCGAACAACGCTGTCCAGAGGGGCAGGGCCGCTGAATCCTGTCTCCCCTCCCCCGCCCCCCCAGTTCAGTGTGTCAGTCTGTCGTCCTCTGTCTGCCCACGCAGGTTATGCTTCGCTGCAGGACGAGCTGCTGTCCCCCGCCTCCATGCACTACGCTCTGCCTTCCCCGCTGTGTGCCGACCAATACTGGAATGAGGTGGCCATCCTGGAAGCCATCCCCATGGCTGCCAGCGAGCAGGATGCCCTCCTGGAGATGTCGGACATGCAGGTATGGTCCTCTGGGCTGACGCCCTCGCTGGTGACGGCCGAAGATTCCTCCCTGGAGTGCAGCAAGGCTGAGGATTCGGACGCCACGAGTGAAGGGCGGTTCACGGGGCAGCTGCTGGAGGATGTGCATGGCCCCGCCGACCCTCTTGGTTCCATGGACCTGGTGGAGGAAGACACAGTGGATTCAGATGCCATGAATGGCCTGATGGACATGTTAGAGCAGGAGGAAGGTCAGAGGTCAGAGGGGAGAAGGCCAGATGGAGAGCGCTAAGGGGGGGGAGCCATTTGGGGGAGTCAGGGTTCACACTGTGACCTCTTTCTCATTCCAGGCCAGCAGAGAGTCCAAGTGGGCATCAAAGAGTCGCCCACTATTAGCCGGGTGATAGAGAAGGGCAAGGACAGGTAAGGCAACGCCCAGTTGAAAGGACGGGGAGGGGACTGGGGGGTGGGGGAGGAACTCTGAAGGTGGCCTGGGAAAGAGAGAAGACACCTTGGATCAGTTCTGGATTGTCCCCAAGGAAATGCCCTGATTACGTCTGGCAAGACCGGACTTAATTGCTCAAACAGAGGCACAGATACACAGTCACTTGTATAAATCCTTCCCGCACCATACAGTCAGAATTGGAGAAGCTTCTTGGAGGAGAAGCAAAATGTCTTAAAAAGAAAAAAAAAACAGAAAGTCCCAAGTGCCTCTTGAAAAAAAGAAGTGCCTTTGAGACAACCTGGGTGATGGAGAATCTCCGCAGACCTTAAGAGACAGCCAAGCTTAGATATTTGGGTTGGAGAAAGAGCCAGAACTTCCTGCCTAGAAGTTCTCAAGAGTTGTCTTGAAGATGCCAATAACTGCTTGCTTTCGGCAAGATTTCCATCTGTCGGTGAGGAAAAGCCAAGGAGACTGCTTGGAATGTGGTCATCATTCTGGGTTTTTCAGAGTCTGTCAGGGCCCCGTCAAATTTTGGGAAAGCGGCCATGAAATTCCAGACTAAATCTAGTGCTGTGGATTTTGTATTCTAAAGCTGAGAGGTCCCCAAACTTGGCAAGACTTGTGGACTTCAACTCCTAGGATTCTCCAGTCAGCTGGGTGGAGAATTCTGGGAGTTGAAGTCCACAAGTCTTAAAGTTGCCAAGTTTGGGGACCTCTGTTCTAAGGGAATGAAAACAAACAAACAAACAAACAAACAAACAAACCCACACCTCTCTCTTTCTGTCCTTGACCCCACCCCGACCTCCAGGCCCGGTGAATGGGTAGTCGAGGGTGCCTTCATCTCCAGCTTGTCGGACTTGGGCAAAGGGGTGTCTCTGAGCCCACCGCTCCTGCAACAAGGGCTGTCGTCTTACAAATTGCGGGGCCGGGAACGAGAGAAACTGGAGCACATGCGGATCGACTCGTCAGAAGAGCGGGAAAGCTCCCTCTTCCAGAGGGACTGGGGTCTCCAGCCGGGGAGGCAGCAAGGTTTAGCCAAGTGGTTGGAGGACTCCGGCAGCAGCTGCTTTGCACAAATGCAGGTAACAACCCAGGTGGACCTCCATGCAGGGGTGGGATTCAACCGGTGTAACAACCGGTTCAGGGAGCGGTGTTTGAACACCGCCCATTTTGAACTCTTAATACTTACCTTCTACTGCAGCCCCGGTGAGTGAAACAGCTGAGGTGCGGCAATCCACTGTGCCGCGCGGATCAGCTGAGCTGCAAAACATGGAAATAAAAGACAGACTAGTGCAGGGGCGGGGAGTGGGGGCAAATATTCAACGGAACTACCGGTTCGTGTGAACTGGTCCAAACCGGTAGAATCCCATGCCTGCCTCAATCTACAGCTGCAATTGAACCCAATGGTTCACCATTTTTTCTTGCCACCGTTGTTAAGCAAATGGTTGTCCTTGTCAAGCTAGGAATGTGGTTGTTAAATGAATTGGGCTTCCTGCTTGTCAGAAGGTCGTCAAAGGAGGGGAAAATCATGTGACCCCGGGGACCCAGCAGCAAACCGTCATAAATGTAACGTGGTTGCCAAGCGTCTGAGTTTTTGATCCTGGTGCTGCTGCAAAAGGTCCTAACTGTGAAAAGCGGTTCAAAGTCCCTTTCTTCCATGCCGTCGCAACTTTGAACGGTTGCTAAATGAACCATTGCAAGTCAGTAACACCTGTAATAGGCTGTCGGTTGCAAACCCCCCTGCAGTTAGGGATGCTGACCAGCAGATGGCGTTCTTCTGCTTTTGCTAAGGGAGGAAGGACCACCCACACACCCAGCCAGCCGCCCGGAGCGGTGGCCTCTATTTATATCTGCCTGGCCAGCAACGCTGCTTGTTTCCTAATTGGGTAACGCCAGGGTCTCTCTTAGAGGCAGACCCAGCAGGACCAGAAATAGAGCCCCTCCAGCCTGCCAATGGCTGGGCTGGGTTTAAGAGAGGTACCCTAACCTGCTTTAAAGATTGGCACAGCACATTCCCAGGCACAGCAGCCGACGGATTCCAATCCAGCCACCCCGACTTCTTGCCTTGAGAGGCTTAAGCTAGGGTGACTTTGACAAAGTTCCTCCTTGGGGAAGGGGGATAGAAGGCTTGGCCACGGGCCTTCGAGCAGCTGCTCTGGGACAGGGCTAAAATTACACCCCCTTCCTCACCTGCCACTGCCTAAGGGCAGAGAGAGAGAGAGGGAGAGAGTGGCTGCTCCGGCCACCAGCCTGGAAGGTGCCCTGCGGCCGTAGGAGCAGAAGGCGTTGGGCTCGACCTGACTGGGATATGATCGGCCACCTGGCTGCTCCTCGAGGATGATGTGGGGCTTTCTGACCCAGCTGCTCATCAGTTTAGTCCTTCTGGGCTTCTTCCTGGTCAGCTGCCAGAACCTCCTGCACATCGCCCAGGGCTCCGTCCAGTTCGTGCTGAAGCAGATCCACCAGGAACTGGACAAGGAGCTCGGGGAGAGCGAAGGGCTGAGTGACGATGAGGAAGTCGTTTCCAGCCGGGTGGTGCGCAGACGTGTCTTCGTCCAGGTAGCCCCTTTGGGTGGGGTGGGCAGGTATAGACCTTAGGGGCGAAGGTGCCCAAAGTGTGGCGGAGAAGCTGTTTTTCTTAGCCTTTGGGTGCCAGGCAAAGATTTTGTAGCCCTGTTAAAGGGAAAGGTTCCCCTCGCACATCCGTACGAGTCGTTTCTGGCTCTAGGGGACGGTGCTCATCTCTGTTTCAAAGCCGAAGAAGAGCCAGCGCTGTCCGAAGACGTCTCCGTGGTCATGTGGCTGGCTGGACTAAACGCCTTCGAAGGCACATGGAACGCTGTTCCCTTCCCACCAAAGGGGTCCCTATTTTTCTACTTGCATTTTTTAATGGGCTTTCGAACGGCTAGGTTGGCAGAAGCTGGGACAAGGAACGGGAGCTCGCTCTGTGACGCGGCGCTAGGGATTCGAACCTCCGAACTGCCGACCTTTCTGATCAACAAGCTCAGCATCTTAGCCACTGAGCCACCAGGTTCCCCCGCCACCCACATAGCCCTGTTGAGCTTGGCCAACTGGCAAAAAAGCATCTGTTGAGCAGAGAACGTGGTGTTTATCTGATTTTACCTGGACAGGGAATTTGACTTTTGGACATAGGTGGAAGAGCAATTAACGTTGCTAGTTTCTAAGCAAGATTTGTTTCACGGGTAGAGGCTTTCATTATGCATTTGATCTTTTAAATGTTATGCTGTTCGGGTTCGAATCCCAGAAAGGTATGGCTAGCTGACGAGAGCTAGGTAGCTAGAAATAGATCTATGCTAGTCTCCCTTTATTTCTTTGTCAATAAATATAAATTCAACACACACCCCAAAAATAGTTTGTCGCGAAGGCTCCTGGATTGGGGCTGAAAGGCAAAAGTGGAAGCAAAGGTACGCTCTGTCCGATATTTGGGTAGGGCAGGTTGCAATGATAGACTGGTCTCACCAGAAAAACACTTAAACTCTTCCCCCTGCATTAAAGGTTAATACGTCTACTTAAGATACAAGTAGCCTGGGTTCGAATCCCCAGCTAGCTGAGGAGATCTAAAATAGTTTGAAACAGATCTACGCTAGTCTCCCTTTATTCCTTTGTCAATAAATATAAATTCAATGCACACACACACACAAAAATAGTTTGTTGTGGAAGCGACTTCCTGCGAAGGCTTCTGGATTGGGGTTGAAAGGCGAAAGCGGAAGCAGTCTGCTCCGTTCCGTACTTGGGTTAGACTGGGTTGCCCTGATAGACCGGTCTCACCGGGGGGAAAAAAAATAGTTCTGCTGTACTACTGTATGCCTTATTTTAATTGTGATCTTTCTGACATGAGTGAAACAAACAAACATACTTGGAAGAGCCCAGCTGTGCACAGAGTAGAGGGCAGACGAGAGAATATCTTGATCCCGAGGGTGATCTCTGCTTGTCCTGTATTTCTCTCCCCCACCCCAGGGTAACGAAATATTGGATATCCCTGGAGAACAAGTGACCGAAGAGCAATTCACTGATGAACAAGGCAACATTATCACCAAGAAGGTGAGCCTATCGTGCAAAAGGAGAATATCGCCACCGTTTAGCCCCCGTTGAGCCGCATCTCTTGGAGTTGGGAGCTGTCTACCTATTGACGTCTCACAACCTTAGGGCGGAGGGCAAGAATGGCAAGAAAACAGATTGCAATCCCATGTCCAATTTTCCTCTTTGGTGCCAAACTCGCCCCACCCTTCCTACCCCCCCCCCGCTTCCCCCCTCTCCCCGTGTCCTGGAGGTCCCAGATCCTCCTCCTCCTCCGTCATCGTCGTCTTCATCTGCAAAGGACATAAATAGAGGAGGGTTAAGTGAGCGCAAATAGAAAATGGAGAAATTCTGATGTTGGTCCTCGATATATTTCTTGTGCAGTTTTTCGCGATTAATTTGGGTTTTTTTCTCTCTATTCATTTTCAGCCCAGCCACCTTTCCAAATTCTTCTATTTCACTCCTTAGTATGTTGCTTGTTTCTTTGGGGTCTTCCATTATGAATGCCATATCGTCGGCAAAGGCTTGGAGTTGATACTCCTTTTAAATATTTAGTCCTCTGATATCTCGGTTCTGTCGTACTATTGGTGTCCATAATACCTCTTCTGCTAGTACCTACAACAATGGGGCCGGGGGGGGGCATCCTTGCCTCGGTCCCTTACTTATCTTTATACTATCAGTAATTTCTCCATTCATTAATATTTTTGCTGTTTGCGCCTTGTAAATGGCTTTGATCAATCCCAGAAAGTTTTCACCAAATTTCATACCGATCAGTTGATTAATCTCCGGTTCCAATTATCAAAGGCCTTCTGGGCATCTCGGAACATCGGTGCCGTTTTTCTATTTGGGTGCATTTCATAGAATTCTAAAACGTCCCAAATTATCCTTGTCTTCATCTGCCTATGTGGAAGAAACCCGTTCTGGTCAGGATGGATAATTCTACTTAATATTCTTTTTAGCCTCTCAGACATTATTGTAGCGAGTGTCTTGTAATCCTCATTTAAAAGGGAGATTGTTCCGTATTTGTTGTGGGTCTGTCTGTTCTTTATGAATGAGCGTTGATATTCCTGAATCTGTTTCTGCTCCCCACAGATCCCAGATCTGGCCCCTTTCTCTCCCTCTCCAGTCCTCTTGGACACTGGAGAGCATTTTATCCTCGTTGGATCTGTTTGCACTGAGATTTTGGCCTTAACAGGGGATCTTTTGCAACAGCAGCTGCAAGACTTGACTTTTCCTCTGGGTCTTAAAGTGAGCAGAGTTGATTCCAAAGCAGGAGCCTTGGGGGACGTAGGGGTGAAACCCTGCCCAGAAGGGCAGATCGAATACAGGTAGTTCTCGACTTACAGCCACGACAGAGCCCAACACTTCTGTTGTTAAGTGAGACACTGGTTAAGTGAGCCCCGCCCCATTTTACAGCCTTTCTCACCACCGTTGTTAAGTGAGCCACTGCAATGGTTAACTTAGTAACAAACACGGTTACTAAGCGAATTTCACTTCCCTGTCGACTTTAAAGAGGGATCCTAGCTTAGAACTAAGGAGGAATTTCTTGACAGTGAGAACAGCTGATTCTCTATGAGAACAACTATGCTATAGGATTTCTTGCTTGAGCAGCAGGATGGACTAGAAGACCTCCAGGCTCCCTTCCAGCTTTATTCTGATTCTGATTCATGGAATAGTTTGTCTCCCAGAATTGTGGTCGCTCCAACCTGCAGGTCTTCAAGAAAATGTTGGACATCCTTTTGTCCGAGATGGTTGAAAGTCTTGGGCAGGGTGTTGGAATAGAAGACATCCGAGGTTCTGTCTAGCCCTATGACTCTATGATTGTAGTCTTCACAACTGGGGAATTCTGGGAGTTGAAGTCTGTAGAGATTTTCAATCATCCAAGTCCTGGCTGTCCCAAAGGTGCTTTTTTCTTTTTTTTTTCCAAGAGGCAACTGGACTTTCTGGTTTTTTCTTTGAAGATGTTTTGCTTCTCATCCAAGAAGCTTCTTCAGCTCTGACTTCTTCAGCTCTATTTACCACCATCCAGTCAGAACTGAAGAAGCTTCTTGGATGAGAAGCGAAACGTCTTCAAAGGAAAAACCAGAAAGTGTCCCAAAGTTGCTTTTTCAAAAGGCAGCTGGACTTTCTTAGTTTTTTTTTTCCTACCCTTGAAAACATGGCACTTCTCATCCAAGGAGCTTTTGCAGAGAACTGAAGAAGCTTCTTGGATGAAAAGCAAAATGTTTTCAAGGGAAAAAAATAATCCAAGAATGTCCAGTTGCCTTTTGGAAAAGCACACTTCGGACCAACCGTGACCTGGACGACTGAGAATCTCTATAGACACTGACGGTTGAAATGCACAGCCCTCAAAAGTTCCCTTAAATCAGGGGTCGGCAACCCACGGCTCTGGAGCTGCATGTGGCTCTTTCATCCATCTGCTGCGGCTCCCTGTCTCTCAAAATATGCACCACCATCGCCAATGTGTGACACCCGCTAGCAGGCGATTTATTGAACTTTTTGATCCCCAGTAGGACAACCATGGATAAAGGAAAGAAAAGTTACAGAAGAAAACAGAACATTTAATTCAACTACATATGCTAGTTTTGTGGCCGCTCAGGAAACAGTCGGGCACGGGGAAGGGGTTTTGTGGCTCCCGGTGTTTTCTTTTGTGTGGGGAACGGGCAACCTTAAAACAAATGGCTCTTCGAGTGTTTTAAGGTTGCCCATCCCTTCCTTAAAGGTTGACAGACCCTGGTTCCCTGCGTCTTCCCCACCCACCCACCCTTGATCTCTGACTCTCTGGTTACAGATTATCCGGAAAGTGGTCCGGCGACTGGACACCGAAGACGGACGGGCGCACGAAGAGGTGATTATCACGACTGCCCCTCCCAGCCTCGGGGTTTGGATGTGAGGCTGGTTTTCCAAACATGATGGCTGGAGAGGATGAGCAGCCACTCACCCCACCCCACCCCACCCCAACCTGCTTGCAATGGTCTTGAACCCAACCTTGTTTCGTTCCTCGGTTCGGAGTCCGGATTCTCCCTCTTTGCCCTCTGACGTCCTTTTCCTTCTGTCTCTCTGCCCGTCTCTCTCTCTCTCTCTCTCTCTCTCTTGTTCTGTCGCCTCTCCGTGGCTGCTTGGCTGTCTCTCGCTGGTCTCCCCCCCAGGACGAGGATCATGGGAGTATCCCGAGATCGGAACTGCTTGGGGGCAGGATGGGGGCTCAGATAGTCAAACGAGCCAGCCTGAAAAGGGGGAAGCAGTGACCTCCCCCTCCAGTGGCCTCTTTGGAGGTAAATCACCCCTTTCCTCTTAATACTGGTAAGGAGGGGGGGGCATTGTTTGACTTAGGGAGACACAGTTGTGCTGGGGGACGGACGGACACCTAGAGACAGTAGAAAGACTACGGAGAACAGCAACCAAGATGATTAAGGGACTGGAGGGTAAAACATACAATGAACGGGGCGTGGCTAGTCTAGGAAGGGGACGTGGTGGCTCAGCGGCTAAGATGCCGAGTTTGTCAATCACAACAGTCGGCAGCTCGGAGGTTCGAATCCCTGGTGCCGCATCACAGAGTGAGCTCCCGTTACTTGTCCCAGCTGCTGCCAACCGAGCAGTTCGAAAGCATGTAAAAAAAAAAATGCGAGTAGAAAAATAGGGACCCCTTTGGTGGGAAGAAGGTAACAGCGGTCCGTGCGCCTTCAGCATTTAATCATGCTGGCCACATGATCACCGAGATGTCTTCAGACAGCGCTGGCTCTTCAGCTTTGTAATGGAGATGAGCACCGTCCCCTAGAGCTGGAAATGACCAGCATGGATGTACGAGGGGAACATTCGCCTTTTAGTCTAGTGAAGAGAAGGGCCAGGAGAGCGCTCCAGTATTTGATGGGCTGCCACAGAGAGGAGGAAGGAGTCAAGCTATTTTCCAAAGCACCTTGAAGGCCAGACAAGGAATAATGGATGGAAATGAGAGATTCAACTTTGAAATAAGGAGAAATGTTTTGATAGTGAGAACAATGAACCCATGGAACAGAAGTTACCTTCGGAAGTTGTGGGAGCGTCATCACTGGAAGCTTTCAAGAAGATGACTGTCAGAAATGGTGTAGGGTCTCCTGCTTGGGTGGGGGCGTTGAACTAGATGGTCTTCAAGGTCCCTTCCAACACGGTTAATCTGTTAATAAATGAAGTGCCCCACTAGCTTCTAGGGTCATTTAAGGAGAGCATGATTAAAAAAAAAAAAAAGCAAATTGAATTCAAGTGATGTGAAATTTGGTCCAGTGATTAAGGCACCAAGCTTGAGACTGGGACCTCTAGTCCCGCCTTAGGCATGAAAGGCAGCTGAGCGCATCTCGCTTTACTCGCCCCTTGCCAACTTCCACCAATCATTTGGGCATTGCATGCAAAATGTCACCATCAAACCGATCTAGAGATGCTTCCCCCTAAAAACAAAAAAAGCTAGCCTGCTTGCAGGAACTCTGTGCCACAGCTGAGGCTGGTATTCTCGTCTTTGTGCCAAAAGAATTGGCATTTATTTGAGTATTTTTTTTCCCTCTGGCTACAATCTGAAAAGGCCCCTGGATTGGGGTCAGAGGTGGCATTCAGTCGGTTTGGGCCGGTTGTGCCGTACTGGTTGCGAAAATTTGGAGTAGTTTGGAAAAGCCGCAAATGCCACCTCTGGCTGGGCCTGCCCATCCGCCTTCACTATTACTTCTCCTATATTCAGGGATGGGATTCTACCTGGTTGTACTGGTTGTTATGATGGAACCAGTTGTTATGATTCTGCCCAGTTCAGAGAACCGGCAAATCGTGCCACTGGCTGGCCCCTCCCCTCCCTTTCTCGCCCACTCACTCCTCACCTGGCATGCGTGCCATCAAACTTGCCTGCTAAGTTGCTATTTTTTCCTTTTTATCCCTCTGACCATCAGCTCTTCTGCTTTGCCGGGAGATTTAGGTTAGCTGGAAAGCAGGAAATCGTTGGATTTCTTGCTTTCTAGCTAATCTAAAAGCAGAGCTGAACCTTCCTTAGGGCTGAAGCTTCTATTTTTCAGTGCAGACTCAGGTAGCAGATTGCAGAAAGGTAGATCTCTGAGTGAATCTGTGAGTCTGCGAGCAACTCAATCTGCCTGCCTGCTTTGCCTGCTTTGGGGTAAAAGTTGCTCTTTTTAAAATAAAAAATTCAATATTTACATAAATATTTACAATATTTTTACATACAAGCCATGCCCAGCCAGTCATGTGACCAACAAGCTACACCCAGTCACATGACCACCAAGCCACACCCATATATTAGGCCACACCCACAGAACCGGTTGTTAAGAAATTTGAATCCCACCCCTGCCTATATTCCCTTGTTCTTTTTAGCTCAGCTGATTTGCGTGGCAGAGTGGATAGCCACGCCGCAGCTGAGCTACAAAACAGGACAGCTCACCAGCGTTGATACAGAGTCGGGTGTTTGAACCTTGTGCGCATGCAAAGTGGGCTCTCAGAATTAGTAGGGAAAAAATTGGAAACCCACCACTGGGTGGGGTGTGTGGGTGGGTTTCTTTCTGTGATGGGTAGCTGTTCAGCCTACAGGTCTCCCTTTCTGAAGAGCCCTTTCAATGGAGCATGTGAGCTTCCTAGCGTTTGGTTGGGACATCCCAGGGCTTTTTTTGGGGGGGGGCTTGGCAGCATGCCTGCACCTGTGCTGTATTGGGTACCCTCATTGCTTTTTTTTTTCTCCTCCAAAGGCTGGGTCCTAAATTGGGGCTTGTCCTAAATAGAAGGGCAGGCAAGAAACTCCTTCTTTGACATCGTAATCAGGGGTGGGATTCTACCAGTTCGCACCTATTCAGTAGAACCAGTTGTTAACATTCTAAGCAGTTCGGAGAACCGGTTGTTAGAAGAAATTACTGGGCTAATCCTGTAAGGAAGGCAGGAAGGAAACATTCTGGTGTTGCTTACAGAAATTGCCTTTCCATTAACCCTTATTACATTCTTGGCAGGACTAGACTTCCTGTCTCAGGAACCTCTCTGGAGTTTTTTCCCCCTCCTTTGCTGGTACTTTTGCTTGTGTGGCGGGACCATTCAAAGTTACAATGGCACTGAAAAAAGGGACTTATGACCATTTTTCACACTTATGACTGTTGCAGCATCCCCACAGTCATGAGAAGCCAGGCGAGGAGATGCGTGCCTCGATGATATTGAGTTGGCCATGCCCAGCCAATAACATGACCACCAAGCCACGTCCACTCAATCACATGCCCACCAAGCCATGCCCACCACTTGAACCACGACCACAGAACCGGTTGTTAAAAATTTTGAATCCCACCCCTGATGGTAATGCACGGACCTTAATAACTATGGGGACTATCTGAGATGGTTTCCTTTTCTTATTGCTGGCCTTGTGTCATCAGGCCAGTTAAAAATGAGGTGATGCATTGGTACAGCATGCAAAAGTATCTGGTGAATCACTCCGGCTTCAGAGGTTTGATGGGGCTGCTGTGTAGGGCCAACCCGGCTTGTTTATACTTAAGGTGAGGGTACCATGCACCGTGGAAGCCCACAAAATAGGGCTCCTGGTTTGAATGCAGCTTTCAATTGTGTATTGGCAACCTTTTTGGTCCTGGATTTGTGTGTGTGCGTGTGTGTGCACCTGCTTGCTGTCATTGTACCTCGCCTTGAGGTCTGGATGGGGGTCTTATGTCATCACCAGTAACTTCTGGTGCTTTGGAAAATACATTGGATGCCCCCCCCCTCCTTCTTTGGGGCAGCCCGTCAATTATTGGAACATGGCTATCGTGTCATCCCTGGTTCTTCTTTTCACTTGAAGAAGTCAGTAGATCAGTAGATCAGACTTCTTAGCAGCGGGTGCAGCCACGGTGGCGCAGTGGTTAGAGCGCAGTATTGCAGGCTACTTCTGCTGACTGCCAGCTGCCTGCAATTTAGCAGTTCGATTCTCACCAGGCTCAAGGTTGACTCAGCCTTCCGAGGTCAGTCAAATGGAGACCCAGATTGTTGGGGGCAAGAGGCTGACTCTGTAAAGCGCTTAGAGAGGGATGTAAAAGCACCGTGAAGTGGTAAATAAGTCTAAGTGCTATTGCTATTCCTTCCTTCCTTCCTTCCTTCCTTCCTTCCTTCCTTCCTTCCTTCCTTCCTTCCTTCCTTCAATCCTTCCTTCCTTCCTTCCTTCCATGGTGCACAGTGGTTAGAATGCAGTATTGCAGGCTGACTCTGCTCACTGCTAGGAGGTCGATCCTGACCGGCTCAAGGTTGACTCAGCCTTCTGTCCTTCCGAGGTGGCAAAATGAGGACTCAAAAATTTGGGGGAAAGAGGCTGACTCTGTAATCCGCTTAGAGAGGGCACTGTGTAAACCGCTTAGTAAAGCACTGTGACGCAATATATAAGTCTAAGCGCTATTGCCAAGTGATATCTTTTGTGAATGTTGGTACCAATCGCTTTCTCTCTTCTCTCTTCCTGTCTTTCTTTCTTCCTCCAGGGCCTCACCTCAACACCCATCCACTAAACCTCCACTCTCCTCGTTCCTCTCCATGCGGCCAGGCGAGTGGAGCAACGAGCTTCCAGAGGCAGGGCTGTCTGTCTGCGATTCTTTAGGTTAATGGCATGATTTCCGTAAGAGACATAACTTTACCGTCTTAAATCCGCATGACCGACCGATCTGCCGACGCATGAGCTAAAGTTCTTTCTCCTGACTTTGAGAGGAGAGGGTCTGGGACAATTCCCCAGGAGAAGGGGGAAAAAAAAAACCGGATGCAATTGTGTTTGTGTGTTTTGTGTGCGCGTGGCGGGGGAGGGGCTTCTTTCCAAAGCCCCCTTCTTTTGACGTGGTGCCTTGGCCTCCTGGGGAAGAAGGAGTAAGCTGGACGGAGATCATTCGCCATCCCATCCTCCCCGGCTCAGCCTCCGGATTGCCTCTGTGCTCAGCTCTGCTCCATCCATCCGTCCACCTGGAACCCCAGAAGGCTTCTAGCTGAGCCCTTCTGGCTACTCTGCCCAGTTGTTCTTCCCAGGTTGGGATGGAAAGCGTGACGTGGATAAATGCCGAGATCTCCTGTGTAGAATATGGACAGATACTTACTATGCAAACACCGACCGAGGCATTCGGCAGAAACCAGACCGGCTCCAGTCCTTGGAAGCGTCCGCAGGCAGCCAGCCCCGTTGAGAAGGAAAACAAGAGATGGGGAGAACCAGAATGTCTTCTCATTGGGAAGGCCTCCCGCCCGGATCCTCCTGGTCTCCTTGGAACCCATACACACATGCACACACACATGCAGGGCGGTGGTTAGAGACGCGTGGGAGGGGAAGGGGAGGAGGAGGAGGAGGAGAAGAAGAAGGGCTAGTACACGAGCCTCTGCCAAGGCAGGCCACCAAAGGGGGTGCGGTGCAGCGCCTTCCCGCAATTTGGCCCCGGGTGGAAGTGTGCGACCGCCCGCATGCGCCGATGCTTGGCTCCACCCAGCACAATCTGTTGCTCAGGAGAAGGGCAGCGTGGTTCCCTTGCCTGCACTTCCGTACGGGAGGACCCCCCCCTCAGGGGGCCTCCTCACTCAGCACAGACATGGCATCCTGCCAACACTTCTTGGACCAGTCTTAGCTGGGGGGAACTGAATTCCTTCCCTCTGCCCCCAACCCTTTCCCCGGTTCCCCCTGCTAGCAACTTCCTTGATCAGGCCTGGCATGAAGGGAGTGATGCTCCTGTTCTTCATCCTCCTCCTCCTCCTCCCCCTCCTCCCCGTCCTTTTCCTTCCATCCTCCCCCATCAAGATTGGCTCCCCCCCCAGTGAACCCCCTTCTCCTCCACCAACAAGCTGCACTCTTGCGACAACTGCCATGAGCAACAGTTGGCGCCTTTGACTTCTGCTTCAAACTTTGGGAGGCCCCCGAGGGATACAAGGGGCATGTGGGTTGTGGGGTGGGTGGGTGGGGGTGGCCACAGGGGACGGCCCAGCAGTTAAGGTGATGATCAGGAGGAAGGATGGGCCATCTTGGACTCCTTGACCATCCCCTGTGGCCACCCCAGCAGCGTGGCGCTCTTCTCCGGCTGCAGCGCCACTTTCTCAGCCCCTGTGCCTGGGATCCTGCTACGCTGGCCCTGCCCAGGTAGGAGGAAGTACTTGGGGGTGGGGGTGAGGGGTGGGGTGGGGGGAGAAGGCAGAAGGGCAGTGAATGTTGGAGGAAAAGCTGAACGCCGTGCCAGGTATCTCCCCAGGGAGACTAACCGTCACTATCCAGAACACGCAAGGAACGGAGCATCAAACTTCCTTGTTCCCCCCACACCCTCCAATCACATTGATTTGCAGCCCGTATGGCCTGCCCCCCCCCCCCCCCCCCCCCCCCCCCACCCCCTTGTTTTGCCCCCCGGTTGGCCCCCCCCCCCCCCCCCAAATTGCTGACACAGCATCACCCTAGATTCCAGCGTGGGCCTACGCACCCACCCGCCCTCTGCCCCCGTGCTTTTGGCCTCCAGTAGTGCATATAGAAAATTTAAAAAAATAATAAGAATAATTTTGAGCTGTGAACTGCGTCCCCCTCGACTGCCTGCGGGGGGGGCGCCGCTTTTGCCCGCCGATCGCTAGTTGGCGCTGTAAAGGAGGGCAATGCCTAGAGAATGCTGCCAGTGTCTGCACTCTAGATGCTTTTTAGAAGTTTTGGGATTACTTTTACCTTCTTTTTTATTGTTATGGAAATTTGAGCCTTTTGGCTCCTCTTGTCTTCCCTCCACCCACCCCCACCCCCCACCCCCCACTCCAGTGTATAGAACCATCCTTCCTCTCCACCAGCTACCAGAATCCAAGTTAATAAATAAATCAACACCACTCAAGTGTTGCTTCTGCCGCTTCTTTGAACTTGCGGGGGTGGGGGAGTCAAAGAGGGGGTTTCACAACCCAGCTGGGACGCTGTTGGGACTTTCGGGGGTCACATTAACCTGGTGGGGGGGAAGGGAAGCGAGGAGAAGTAAGGTTAGGTGTGAAAGCTTTGCTAGGGTTGGCGAAGGATGGTACTTTTTAAAAGGCGGGGTACACTCTTTGTAGTGTCCCTCTTTTATGTGTGTGTGTGTATGTATGTATGTATGTATGTATGTATGTGTGGCAGCTCTGTGGTGCTCCTCATCCACCTCCAAAAGTGGTCCCTGATCTGATCAAACAGACCCACAACTTAGATAATCATGACTGCTTCATACATCAGACAGAATTAGCCCGGTTGCTGTATCTCCAAAACTATGTGGTTATTTTGTGCTTAGATCCATCCATCATCCCATCCATCCATCCATTCGTTCATCCAATCTACCCATCCATCCTTCATCCATTTATCCATCCATCCATCTATCTCATCCATCCATCTATCTCACCCACCCACCCATCTGTCCATCCATCCATCCATCCACCCATCTATTCATCCATCCATCTATTCATCCATCTATCCATCTATCCCATCCATCCATCCTTCATCCATTTATCCCATCCATCCATCTCATCCATCCATCTATCTCACCCACCCACCCATC